AATCATGAGAGATGATTAAAAGGAAGATAGATGGCAGTAAGAAGGTGCATGTAATTTAATTATTAAAGTGTTATTTTGTATGTAAGTACGTATGCATGTATGTATGTATGTATGTATGTATGTATGTATGTATGTATGTATGTATGTATGTATGTATATATACATGCATACATACATGCATACATACATGCATACATATGTATACAAAAAAATGGCGTCGAGACCGGTAAAAATAAACGAACTACTTTATTTTATTAATAATAATTTAAGTTTAATAGAGGAAGAATCATTTATTAATAATACCAGTGAATTTTATACTAGTGACGATATCGTTTCAGCAATTAAGACATTAAAATGTGGAATAGACTCACCAAAACTGGATAAAATGGAAAAATTTCCCTCGCGCGGGAATTCAAAACGTGAAAAACTTCTGGAATGCTTGACTTTATTCAGGTATATTAAAAATAATAATTTGTTGGATAAAATAGCATTATTTTGCAGTTCTGATATAAATAAAATACCAAACACGGAAAACTGGCTGAAAATAAATTTCGACTTCGTTAACAAACAAATAAAAGAAATGTTGTTCGCTCAACAAGATGAGATAAATAAAATGTTTTTGTCTTATACTACCGAGTTGGATAATGTTAAAAATAAACTTAACTCTCTTGTTGCAAACAATGTTGGCAAAAAAGTAAACGTTGACTCAGTAATCTCTAACAATGTAAATAACACGTTGCCACCAACTAACCAAAATGCGCCAGGAATTTTGTGGGCGGACGTCGTGTCATCATCCACTCTGGACGAAGCGGCACAACAAACGTCCACGTTTGAACGTCTCATTGGAGGCCAACAACAACGGGGGAACCACTTCAATCAACAACAACGAAAACACGGCAAACATCAAAACATCTAAAAAACCAACAAAAGTTATTGGCAAAAAAGTTGTTGAAGATTGTAAATTGAGGGCAGACACAAATTTAATTAAAAAATCTGTGTTCTCAATGAGCAACATTAGTAAATGCCATCGAAGAGATGTTGTTGAATTTTTGACGTCAAATGGAATCAATGTCATCACATGTTATCCTGTTTTGAAAAAAACAGAAATATCGTCGGATAAAAATTTTGACGAAGATGACCAGGAATGAACAATGTTCAGAGTCTGCATCACTAGCTCAGATGTCGGTAAGATGAAGGATCCTGACATTATGCTGAAAAACATTATTGTGCGCGAATGGCGCTTCAATCAGACGAAACCTGATGCTAATACTCCGAATGGAAAGTAAAATTTTAAATAACCAACTTTTAAATAATGAAGAACAATTGTTACAAAATTCAATATGTTTGACGATCCAAAGTCAGTCAATGCTAAATATCAATCTTTCATTTCTGACGTGAGTAATTCAACGCTAAACGTTATGCACTTGAATGTAAGAAGTCTAATAAACAAAACTAACAAACTTTATGATTTCTTAATGAATTTTTCCTTCAAACTTAATGTCGTAGCAATAACAGAGACCTGGCTGAATAATGACCATGATGTTGAAATGGAGGGTTATCATTTTGTTGGAAAAAATCGATGTGGTAAGCATGGTGGTGGTGGTGTCGGTTTTTATTTGGAAAATAGTTGTTTATATAAAATTCGAAATGATTTGAATCTTATTGGTTGCAAAGACTTCGAAACATTTTCAATCGAGCTAATTAATAAAGATTCAAAAAAAAATTCGATAATGATCGTAACTTACCGACCTCCGTCTCAAGATCCAAAATTTTATATCAATCAATTAGAACAGTTGTTACACGCTGCGAACAATGAAAATAAATTTATCTGTTTAATGGGGGATTTCAACTTCAACTTATTTTCCGTAGAAGAAGACAACAGCACAACTAATTTTTTACATCTCACTTCATGCTACAATTTATCACCGATTATTACAATTTCAACAAGAACCAGCATTAGAAAACAATCAGTGATAGACAACATTTTTGTGAACTGTTTAAAACCTTCAAGACTGAATGGCGTTGTGATGTGCGATCTATCAGATCACTTTCCGATTTTAGCTTCAATTGATGATGGAGATAGAAGCATTGATGTGAAAGATTCAACACAAATGAAATTCTCTTTTTCAACACATCGTCTGCGGAGATTGAATGAACGTTTGCAATTTTCTGACTGGAGTGAAGTTTTTGATTGCATCGATGTTGATATGGGGTTTGAATTGTTCATCAACAGATTTCAATCCTATTTCTATGATGCGTGTCTGATAAAATCAAATAGAAAGAAAAACAAACTCTCCAAACAAAAGCTGTGGTTCACTGCAGAATTTAAAAAATTATTAAAAAAGAAAAAATGTTTATTTAAAATATATCTGAAAAATCCGTCTAAAGATCGAGTTTTAAAATTCAAGACTTGTAGTAAACTGTGTACCAACTGAAAAAACAAATTAAAACGTAGATACTACACCAACCAAATTGAGCAAAATATAAACAACAGCAAAAAAACTTGGTCAATAATTAAGGAAGTATCGAATAGATCCAGTAGTCATAAAACGAATTTGCAAGTAACTTCAAATGAACAAATGATTGAAGATCCAGAAAATTTTTTGAATGATTATTTTATCAACATAGCACCAAATCTGCTTAAATCATTTCAAACAAATAATCAATGGAAAAAGTTTCTTGGCAACAAAATACCAAACTCGTTTTTTTGCCTCCACGCATCTGCAGAAGAAATTATTTTCGCAACAAAACTGCTGGCTCCAAAATCATCTAGCGGCTGGGATAACATTCCAACAAAAATAGTCATATCAACAATCCCCTCCACAGCCTGGGTTCTCGAGCACATCATCAATCGCTCACTAACAACAAATATTTTTCCTAGATGCTTCAAAACATCTAAAATCATACCGTTACAGAAAGTAACCGGAAATAATGATGTTTCTAATTTTCGACCCATCTCATTAGTTCCTGCATTTTCGAAAATAATAGAAAAAATTATGCATAAACGAATAATATCGTTTCTAGAAAAAAATAATATTCTATCATGTTACCAGTTCGGGTTTCGAGAGAAACATTCAACAGAACTGGCAATAATAGAACTCGGAAGGAAAATTGGAAAGCTTGCGGAGAAAAAACAATTCATCGTAGGAACATGTCTAGATCTGTCGAAAGCTTTTGATTGTATTGATCATTCCATCCTGTTGGGTAAACTTGAACACTATGGCATAAGAGGAACGACTTTGAAATGGTTTGAAAGTTATTTGTCTGAAAGAAAGCAGTTTGTCAGCTGGGGAAATAAAAATTCAACATTACAACATAATGGTGTTGGAGTCCCACAAGGAAGTATCTTGGGACCACTACTTTTCATCTTGTTTATCAACGATTTGCCAAATGCATCAAACTACTTTGATTATGTTTGTTTCGCAGATGACACCAACATTTTTGGTAGTGGAACTAACATCGATGGTGTTATTGACCGAACAAATGTTGAATTAAAAAACGTCGTCAAATGGTTCAACGACAATAAATTAGCACTGAATACTTCAAAAACCCAAATGATCGTCTTCGGTCCAGTGCAGTGTTTAAACTATAAAGAACCGTTCAAAATTACAATTAACAATCAACAAATAGTCGAGAGCAAAATAGTAAAATTTTTGGGTGTCTTCTTAGATCAGAAACTAACGTTTAAACCCCACGTCAATCACATTTCAACCAAGTTGGCCAGATCAATAGGAATAATAAATAGGATAAAGTTTTATCTCCCAAAAAAATGTTTAAATCTTCTTTATAACGCCATCTGTCTACCCCATGTATCATACTGCAACGTCATTTGGGCCAGTGCTTACCCATCAACTACCATGTCTGTAAAAGTTCTGATGAAAAAAGCAATGAGGATCATCACGCTTTCTCGAAAAGATGCTCACACATCTCAACTGTTCAAATTAACTAATAATTTAGATTTTGATAAATTAAATTTATATTTTACAGCCAATTTTGTATATAAACAACTTTCAAACAAACTTCCTTCTATTTTCAATAATTATTTTATTCCGATAAATAATTCCAGACGTCAATATAATATATTAGCAAATAAATCAAAAACATTCATACTTTTTTCTCATATCATTTGTAAAGGGCCAAGAATTTGGAATGCTATTTTAAAACATGGTTTTCCATTCAATAAAATTAATGAAGCAAATTTTAAAAATAAATTGAAAATTTATTAGTTGAATAATGACATTGAATGTTAACTGTTGCTGATCGCTAAACGAGCGGATGTATTTGTACAATTTTTATTTATTTATTTTATTATCTATCGCTTTAAATTTCTAATTATTATATTGATTTCTTGATTGAGGAATTGGTTGATTGCTTTATTGATTGATCTCATTGGAAAAGTCGCATCTAATTTACTCACTTGAAAAAATCCACAGACATCAGTATATAGTTTTTATGTATTTAATTACTGTGAGATCTACTATTCATGTCGTTCTATATGTTGCTTAAATATATAGATAACTATGTAATGTCTATCCCGTGTTTTTCTGGATAGATACCAAACATTGTTATACATAAACCGTGAACCATCGTACTAACAACTAACACCTGTTTTGCTAACATAGTTGAGTTCGTTAATTTACTAACAACTAACATCTAACATGCCTCTCATAGATCATTTGGGGGAAAATTTTTATTATTTGCTGAAAAACTTTTGTACGAGCATAGAACATTTCTGTTTAGGTGGCCATACTAGATGAATTTTTTATAAATTCTATTATGGTCATCCTGCTTTCTTTTAATTTTTAATTTTGAGAAGCAAATAAAATTTCGTTTCGTTTCGTTTCGTATGTATGTACGTACGTATGTACGTACGTATGTATGTATGTATGTATTTACATACCCACACACACTCACATACACACTCACATACACACATAACATCATCACCGACAGGTTTTTCATTAACAATCACTAAATTTAATGATAACTGCTATAGCACTTGTATCAACAAACAAATGCACACACACTCACACGCGCACACACACACACATACAACATATACACACATACACTCACAAACACACACACACACTCACACAACTCACTCACACGCACACGCACAAACTTAAAATACACATAAACACACACGCAAACATACACACAGACGAAATTTTATTCTCAATTATCAGACATCATCTTGTATGTATGTATGTATGTATGTATGTATGTATGTATGTATGTATGTATGTATGTATGTATGTATGTATGTATGTATGTATGTATGTATGTATGTATGTATGTATGTATGTATGTATGTATGTATGTATGTATGTATGTATGCATGCATGTATGTATGTAATTTTCAATTTTGAGAAGCAAATAAAATTTCGTTTCGTATGTATGTATGGATTTATTAAGTATGTATCTTTGTATGCATATTTGTATGTGCGTGTATTATGTATATGACATGCAATTAAATATGAAAAATTGGAGAAAAAAAATTTTCCTTCAGTCTTGTTTATAAAAGTTTTTATCTGGTCTGTTGACATTGAAAAGGTATATTGATGACGTAAAAGTTACATTCAAACACCCACACACACACACACACGTGTACTAAAGAGAAACAAACATACAAGAAAAACAATTAACACACATACAAACATTCATATGTATACACATAAACATAAAATTATACACATTTACAGTCATACACATATTCAAACACACACCACAAAACACACACACACGTACACACGCCTGCATACACACACACATACACACACATACATACACACATACACACACATATACATATATACACACATATACATACACAAAATACAAAGAAATGCCTATTTGCTTAGGTATTATAATTGTTGCATAGTGTAATGACTCGAAAAAGAATTGATCATTGTGCAAGGATGGGCGCAAACCATTCGCTTGCAATATTAATGATATCATGTGCAATGACTATAATGGCGAATTAATAATAACAATAATAGTAATAACAATAATAATAATAGTATTAATAATAATTATTATTTTAATTATAATAAAAGTATTTTTTATACTAATTATAGCAAATAATAATAGCAAATTTCAAGAGTGGAGTTGTTTGATGGCAGATCTTGGGAAGTCGCGGGGGCTC